AAAACGAAAAGCCTAGTGCTTTCTCGTTCTCCTGCCCGTTGTTCTCTTCAGATTAACGGAGAGGCAGTGGTGCAGGTGGAAAAATTCAAGTACCTCGGAACTCTATTTGCGAGTGATGGAAAATTCGGTGGAAGAGATCGACAGGCGAATTGGAGTTGCCATGGCTAGTAGCTTTCTGCGTGAACTAGCCCGACCTATTGTGACTAAAGTAGAGCTCAGTCTGAAAACTAAGCTCTTAATATTCAAGTGGATCTTTATCCCCGTACTTACCTACGGTCGTGAATCGTGGACCATCACTAAAAACTTTCAAACCAGGGTACATGCTGCTAAACTGGGCTTTCTTAGACGAGTCGCTGTCCTTACGCTTATGGTCATGGTCCTTAATACTGACATGCTGAAGAACCTTGGTATTCAGCTTTTGCTTCTCCAGATTGAGAAGTTACAGCTGCGATGACTTGGGCATGTGTTGCGAATGCCTCCATAAAGGAAGTCTAAGCAACTCTTCCTTGCAAATCCGACCGGCAAAAGGTCTAGGGGACGGCCAAGATTAACCTGGCGCGAATATATGCAAGGAGTCTGCTCCAGACTCCAGTTGTCTTTTGCCGAAGCTCAGACTCTGGCATAGGATCGGGAACGTTGGAAGTTCTGTCTGATGCGTCTGTCTACGTGACTCGAAAGGAGAAACGGCGATTGAAGATGAAGACATTATGGGAACGATCCGATTCAGCACTTTCTTGACTTGTGGTGTCAAAGTAACGCAAGGCCAAAAAACAGTACTGTAGAACGGTGGCTTAAAGAGCTGTTTACTGCGCATACTGTTGAACGGCATGGAGCTGCAGACGGTAGAAGTATTGTTCGAAAATATGGACTGCCATTAATCCAAGTCGTTGCCTTCCTATTAAATAAAGTCATTCACTGAGCCGTAAGTATTGAGTCGCTTTTTTGCCACTCAATTGTCAGTTCGACCCTGTGATTTCAAATTAGCCAGATTTTAACAATGTAATATTTATATGTATTTATCCATCAACGATTTCCAAATTGAAGAAGTCATCGAGTATTTTGTTTGTGGTAGCCACTTGTGTCAATTGGCCCAGAGCTCCTTAGAAGCCTCATGTTACATGGATTCATACGGAAGAAACGCTTTCGTTGTTGATAACGAAAATTTATCAGTTACAATTTTACCCACCTTTTTATTGAGGTGCAATATTGCAAATTGCTTTACGTGGTTGCAATAGCTTGATATCCAGAAAATGAAAAACTGTTAATCATGCAGCAGCGCGGTACAGAACGAGGGTTTTCAATCCAATGCGAGCTGCGAAGTTAAATTTAAGGATGCACGTGAATACCGGAAGTATTTCACAACATTCGGCAATGAAGTTTTGATATTTACGATGTCCTTGGCGCACGTAAAAACGCATCCTTATCAATCCCTTCGGTTGATCACTTTGGATATTTCATTAAATCTCACTGCTGTTAATAAGCACTACTTTGAAAAGTCCAAAAACGTTATTTTGACAATGCCGGTCAAAAAATATAGGTTGCTATGTAATGGTGATCTTTTTAATCACGGAAAACGGTCAGTTAATCGTTGGTGCGTATTTTTGTAGCCACACATTGTAACCAGAAAAATCCTTGTAACCAAAAAAAGATTTATTTCAAATGGTCAACCGTTTCGTAAATTCTTTTGATTACGAATAGCAATGAACCAGAATTGTGCACGTAAAAAGCGCTCATTTGGAATATTATACAAATACAGTACCCAAAGTAATATGCGGTAGCGTGAATGATACAAATGCTTAAGATAACATCGTACATAACCGCAGTTAAGCAAACGACGTAAAGTTTTTAGTTCGCAATATGCAGTTCCTGGTGACGTTTTTAAAATTATTTTATAGAATTCTAGTTTCTATAATCCATTCGATAATCATTCTCTAATGCATATCGTATCATCGAGGGAAGGTACAATTCGAGATGTTTTCGACTTTTCCAGTCATTTCTCTGACAGCCAGTCCTACGCGCTTCAAACATAATTTGTTTTAGATCATTCAGTTTCTGCACAACTTTTCCTAATTCGTTTAGGTTTTGCGTATGTTCTTAACAGTTTGATTTGCGTTGATCGAAATCAAATGCAACGTTATGGCGCTTAAATTCGTCGCGGGGAGAAACGTTTATTGAAAGTTGCAAACTATGGCAAAATCCAGTATGCTTCATGTTGTCGAATATTTGAAGCTAAATAGATTATGCATGAAGATAGGACGGCTGAGGATAGGAAGATCATGCCATTTTCGTCAGGGTCAGGCTGTTTTGTTGATGCGGCACTGTATCTAAGATTCGAATCGTAATAATGCAGAATAATAAGCGATTACAAGACGCAAAAAGAGCAACAAAGTCAGTCATTTCTCCAGGAGAAATCGCTGGAGTTCAGTCATCCAGTTTGCACTTCGATAATGGCCTTCGAGAAAACCTATGACTGGATTTCCGCGAAAGCTGTGAACGTCTGTGCAAGTACATGGAATCGATGACCACTTATTGCGAGCCATGATAATAACTACATCTTTATGCCTCGTGCTGCGTCGGAGTAAGTGGCGTTAAGTCAATATCTTTCAGCGTTGGTACTCGTCTCCATAAATGCTCCTTCTGTTTATGCTGTAGATAGGAACAAGTGCACCATCCTACAAGACGTAGAGGTGAGGAAGTTACTGTTTGCAAAAGACCTTGTTTTTTGGCGTCATCGGTAAATGATCTCCAGCACTATTTGGACAGGTTCGCAGCTGAATGAGCAGTG